TTACCTAAACGATGGTAGTCGACGTCGATGACTTCAGACTCCAGGCTGTAGCAACTTCGCGTAGAACCAAGTAGGAGACACGCCACTTCAACATGTGTTTTTAAGAAAAATGCGTAAACGGTAAAGATGGCGATTGTATGCACATGTCCCGCCCCTCCCGCTGGAAAGACAATCATCGACTTCATGTCCCGGCGGGCTGGGTTGTTTTGCTTGCTAGCTGTTCCACTGACGGTCGCGCACAGAACAGAACCCTTGCGCATGCGTAGTAACAGTATAACCTGTGGGGGAAAAGGCGAACCTTGTTTTGGGGAAAAGTCACCACCGTCTTAGCCCCGCCCAAAACACTTCTGAACACAAAAAACGCTGCAGTTCCTTCTATGCGTTGTATCAATAACATTTATAATGTGCTTAGATTTTTTTTTTTTTTCCAGGGACTTTTAAAATGTTCTATAGCCGTCAGCTTAGCGCCGGCGGCTAATAGAAGCCGTGCCGATGTTTTTTGCTATCTGGGTAGCTGGGTCGTGTCACGGTGTGGTTTTATTTCCTGATTTTATTTTGTAGTTTCTGCTTCTTGTCTCCCTGGGTAACTTCACTTCCTGCCTGGTCCTGTCATCCCCTTTCATTGTCTGATTGTTTCCACCTGTGTTCAATAACCTGCACCTCCCTAGTGTATTTAAGCTGTGTATGTCTCTTGTCACTTGTCGCGTCGTTGTCTATCGTCCTGGATGTTCGTTAGTTCCTGCCTACCTTTTTTCCCCCGGTTCCTGTGTGCGTTTTTGCCTGTTGGCCTTTTCTCACTAGTGTGTATAAGAGCATGTTACTAGTGAAGGTAAGAGCAACTCACTAGTGTGTATGAGTAAAATCTGAAGCAAAGAGGGCAGATTTTGAACAGCGAAAAGCACTAATCTTACGGCCTTCTTTAATGTGCTTTTATGTCCGGACATTTTCCACCAGCCACCACTGATGACTAATAATTAAAACATTCTTGCATGTTTGTTTATTAAAAAGCAAACCTGTTGAACAGGATGCTGATCCTGAGAGATGATGAAGGATGCCGGTCAGCGGGTTTAAAGTCTTGTTCACTCCTTTTTGTTTCGTTTACACGCCTTCCACCTTGAAGTCTCCCAAATGGACGCAAAAAGGACAAAAGGACAAAGGAACAGTCCAGAACCACTGGACTCTCTAGGTGGTCTTCAACAAAACACGTTACTCCACCTGTTGTTCTGGAGGTGAATCGCTCTGCGACACACGCAAGACTTTACAAACAGGAAGTGAAACGAGTGCGTCGACACGACGGAGCGTAAAGACGCAGAAACATGCGCCAGCGTTTACAGGGGAAGTAGCACCCTTCTACCACTTGTCCCCGTGCGATGCCACAGACGCAAATAGGACAAAAAAACAGGCCAGAACCGAACGTTCGAGTACTCGTCATGAAGCGTTACACTGTAAAAAGACAACTCGCAATTGTTGATCTCATAAGGTTTTCAAATTATCGTGACTCAAAGATGAAGCTTTGCCATAAACAACTAACAAGAACGTGTCAGGCCAGAAAACTCCCTGCCGCTCCAACAAAAGCAGAACGTGAACAACTGGAAAGTCAGACAATTACTTTAATTGCCTGTTTTTGTCTGTAAGGCCTGAGATCTCATTGTTAAAGTTATTTCATCTGCTCCACAAAAACATCCGAAACAATGAGACCTTTTGTGATAATCAGGTCCAGGGTGTGTCCCTTACAATGAGTAGCCTCTTTCACATGTTGAGACAGTTCAAATGTGTCTAAAATAGTCAAAAGTTCTTTTGCACCCTTGTCATTCAAATCGTCAGTATGAAAATTAAAGTCACCGGTTATAACTAGACAGTCAAAGTCGGTAGAGATGCTAGACAATAATTCAGTAAAATCATCTAAAAAATGTGCAGAATATTTAGGTGGCCTGTAAATAATTAACAGGAGAACTCTGGGAGAACCTTTCAATACAACATAAAGATATTCGAATGATGGAAAATCACTAAGTGACATCTGTTTCCCCTGAAATATATTTTTAAATATAGCAGCAACCCCTCCACCTCTTTTTCCAGATCTACATACATCAATAAAGTTATAGTTGGGGGGTGCTGCCTCAATCAGAATGCTTGCACTGTTATTTTGTTCTAGCCATGTTTCAGTTAAAAACATAAAATCAAGTTTAGAAGTGGTAATAAAATCATTGACTAAAAACGATTTGTTATTAAGAGACCTAACATTAATCAGTTAATTAGTTGATTAACATAAGAGCATGTCACTAGTGAACGTAAGAGCATCTCACTAGTGTGTATAAGAGCATCTCACTAGTGTGTATAAGAGCATGTCACTAGTGAACGTAAGAGCATCTCACTAGTGTACGTAAGAGCATCTCACTAGTGAACGTAAGAGCATCTCACTAGTGTGTATAAGAGCATCTCACTATTGAACGTAAGAGCATCTCACTAGTGAACGTAAGAGCATCTCACTAGTGTGTATAACAGCATGTCACTAGTGAACGTAAGAGCATCTCACTATTGAACGTAAGAGCATCTCACTAGTGTGTATAAGAGCATGTCACTAGTGAACGTAAGAGCATCTCACTAGTGTGTATAAGAGCATGCCACTAGCGAACGTAAGAGCATCTCACTAGTGTGTATAAGAGCATCTCACTAGTGTGTATAAGAGCATGTCACTAGTGAACGTAAGAGCATCTCACTAGTGTGTATAAGAGCATCTCACTAGTGTGTATAAGAGCATCTCACTAGTGTGTATAAGAGCATGTCACTAGCGAACGTAAGAGCATCTCACTAGTGTACGTAAGAGCATCTCACTATTGAAGCTAAGAGCATCTCACTAGTGTGTATAAGAGCATCTCACTAGTGTGTATAAGAGCATCTTACTAGTGAAGGTAAGAGCATCTCACTAGTGAACGTAAGAGCATCTCACTAGTGCGTAATAGAGCATCTCACTAGTGTGTATAAGAGCATCTCACTAGTGTGTATGAGTAAAATCTGAAGCAAAGAGGGCAGATTTTGAACAGCGAAAAGCACCAATCTTACGGCCTTCTTTAATGTGCTTTTATGTCCGGACATTTTCCACCAGCCACCACTGATGACTAATAATTAAAACATTCTTGCATGTTTGTTTATTAAAAAGCAAACCTGTTGAACAGGATGCTGATCCTGAGAGATGATGAAGGATGACGTTCAGCTGGTTTAACTTCCTGTTCACTCCTTTTTGTTTCGTTTACACGCCTTCCACCTTGAAGTCTCCCAAATGGACGCAAAAAGGACAAAAGGACAAAGGAACAGTCCAGAACCACTGGACTCTCTAGGTCGTCTTCAACAAAACACGTTACTCCACCTGTTGTTCTGGAGGTGAATCGCTCTGCGACACACGCAAGACTTTACAACCAGGAGGTGAAACGAGTGCGTCGACACGACGGAGCGTAAAGAGGCAGAAACATGCGCCAGCGTTTACAGGGGAAGTAGCACCCTTCTACCACTTGTCCCCGTGCGACCACTTGTCCCCGTGCGACCACTTGTCCCCGTGCGACCAATCTTACGCCCTTCTTTAATGTGCTTTTATGTCCGGACATTTTCCACCAGCCACCACTGATGACTAATAATTAAAACATTCTTGCATGTTTGTTTATTAAAAAGTAAACCTGTTGAACAGGATGCTGATCCTGAGAGATGATGAAGGATGCCGGTCAGCGGGTTTAAAGTCTTGTTCACTCCTTTTTGTTTCGTTTACACGCCTTCCACCTTGAAGTCTCCCAAATGGACGCAAAAAGGACAAAAGGACAAAGGAACAGTCCAGAACCAAAGCAGAACCAAAGCAGAACCAAACTTTCAAGTACTTGCCTGTCCTTGTGTAGGTCCAAGTTTATAAATACTACCATATTCAAGTTAAATTTTAGGACTTTTCAAATGAGAAGTTGAACGAGAATATTTCTGCAGTCGGTTTTTCAATATTCAGCCTTCGCAACAATTTGCTCCGAGGATGTCGGAGATGTCAGGTGTAGTTAACGGGACTGTCCGGTCAGCCGTTCTACTTCTACGAAATTCTCCGCTTCTATCCGCTTTTCTGTAGCGGTTATACATAAGATACTATAGTAAAACTAAGCTGAGTGTTCATAACTTTTAATCTGAGACTGGTGTTTGTTTACCGGTTATGTTACGTTTAAATTCATAACTTTATGTTTAAATGTCAGGTGGCAGGTGGAGGCGTCACCTGCCACCGTTCCCAGAGCAATTGGCCTCAGCTGCATTCAATGGCATGAATAGTTTGTATGCCTGTCTATTTAAGTAGTAGTGGCGGAGGGGAGAGAGAAGTCACACGAGGGATCCGGATGGCGAGAGCGCAATTACTTCTGAGAGTTGGAGAATAAAGTTGATTAAACACCAACCAACCAGGTTATAAACATGTTCCACCCTGTGGAATTATGCCTCCAAGATGATAAAATGAGTTTTGTGTTTAAAATAATTAAACAACTGTGTATAAAATACACACATTATAAAATAAGATTTCATCTTTAGAAGAAAAAAACATTCATTAATAACAACATTGTTGAGATTAATCACAATTTATGAATTCCAAAATGCGATTAATTAGTTAATTTTAATATATTGACAGGCCTATTTTCAACTTATTAACCTGTTGTCTCTTTTCTTAATTTGACATTACTTTGTTGGTTGGATGTTTTCTGCTTGTTTCAATAAAACAATTGTTATGGAGGCGACCGTGGCGCGTTGGAGTACAGAGGCTGCGCCAGGAACCTCAGGCGGTTCGATCGCCCCTGAGCAAGACTCCTAACTGCTCCCCGGCGCCTTTACAGCAGCCCGCTGCTTCCACTGTGTGGGATGGGATTAATGCAGAGAACAATTTCCTGTATGTGCAATATAATAAAAATGGCTTCTTCTTAAACCACCATCCTCTGGTCTAAGGGAGCATGGCGCCCCCTGGTGTTCAACAAGGGTCATTACACGAGGACAAGCTGAGAGGAACCCGTTTTATTTCTTTGGAGCACCACACAGCATCTTTAAGTTTCCCTTTGCACGCAAAAATATTTCTCTTTTCTTTTTATCATTTTTACAAAAGCAGCCAAGAATAAAATAAACCTCAGGAGATTTGCATTAGATTACATTTTGGTAATATGGAAAACATCAAGTGACATAAAAAAAAAGAAAAACCTTAAAAATAATTAGGTTGAGCCGCTCGTTAACAGAACTATAAATAAGTCAACATCACACACATCTGAAAAATAAATACACGTCAAAATCTGTTCACTGACGAATTATTTAAATATATCTTTTAAAAGTTGTGACAGAAGTTTCTTAAAGCTGAAAGAAAATGAGCATGATTAGTTACACGTGCTCTCAAATGAAACATGCATTAAAAATGATAAAACTAAAACAAAAACATTTGTGAATGTTACAAAGAGTTTAAAATCCTAAGCAAAGGGCCCTGAACACCGCATCCTCTTTTGGTGCAAAGATATTATAATCTTTGCACAAAATATTGATAATATAGATTATATTTGTGTGACGGAGGATTCTCTGCTCTCTCTCATCTTTCAAAAAGCTGAATTCTGGCTTTACCAACTGGGTTTACTTCCTTCTTGTTGTTGTCGTCGTCTTCCTGCCGGCTGGGCTTCAGAGGAGTCAGCTCGGGGGCGATTATGTCTCCGTCCTGTGTGAGGAACAAAACGACAGAGGACAGATTGGGACCATAAACGGTTTACTGAGGGACAAAAAAATCAAGAGAGAAGTAGTTATTTTGTCAGACTTTTATACAATTGGACTTATTTTCTGTGATTTTGTCACCGTTTTCCAGCTTGTTGCAGGTGTTTTTTTCCTGTTCCTGCATTGTAACCGATCGTCTCTGCAGGTGCAGATTACCTGAGGCTTCGAGAAGTTCTCGTCCATGCACCACTGGACAAAGTTCTTCTTTGCCGCCTCCAGACTCCTGCTGTCAAGCTTCTTGCAGTAAACCCGGATCAGCTGCTCGGCAAACTGCTCCGGGAGAAGTTTAGACACCTGGCGAGGAGGAGAAGCAGGCGGCTTAGTTTTGAGGACAGGTGAAAACGGTCAGAGTCCACAAAGCTGCTTCTTCTTCGCGGTTTCCATGACAACAGTATCTTGATGTCACCCTCTATACTCCTGAGATCTGAAGTCGGGGCTTCTGGTTCGGGTCTGACCTGGTTCTTGCGGATCTGGACGGCTTTGCTCGGGTCGTCCTTGCTGTAGAAGCGCACGCTGTTGATGGGGTTCTTCTCCTTCATCCCGTAGTCCAAGTTGATGACCTAAAAGAGTGAGAAGGTTGTAGTGAAGCCTGCAGACACATGGTAGAGCAGGGAGCACGGGGACTGATCAGATCAATAAGCCTCACATCGATGATGAAGTCCTCTGGATTCAGAACCACGTCCTGAGAGGCGCATCGAGCCAGATCGGCTTCCCAGCTCGCAATCCTCTCCTTTCAGAGGGGAAAGAGCAGGAGGTGGAGGTTGCTTATTTAACCATGGGGGGGGGGGGGGGTACGAAGCATCACATCAATTTATGCAGTTTGAAATAATACATTTACCCCTCGGCTTAAATGTTCTATTTAGCCGTATTCAGACTGACGGTCAGCTGGAAATCATCAGTAATTCTTCACTTTACTGACAATCTGGTAAATAAATAAAAAAACCTGGATCCCAGAAATGATCCATGACCCGATAATGAAAGTCACTGTCATCTCAGTACACGTAGAAGCGGCGCATGCAGCTACTCGAGCAATGTGACGCACACACACACACACACACACACACACCTGAGGGACGTTCTCGTGTTGGTCCGCCTGGGTGTGGCCGAGACATTTGTAGAGGCGTCGACACACGACGTTTTTAAGAATCTCCCTCGAGTCCTTCAGCGCCGCGGAGGACGAGTTGAGTATTTGTTCAAAGACGTTATCTAGAAAGAGAGCAGGGAGCTCTTCAGACTCGACCTCCACTAAGACACTGACTGTAGCACTCACGTTGTACTTCTAATGCTTCTTATCTGTAACAAGTTGTAAATGGGCTTATTTGATGAAATTGCACTTTGTTGTTTCTTCCGAGTTTGTCTTGTTAGAAGTCTGAATTAGCACGGATGATGGGATGGATGCGATCTAGCATTGTGATGGAATATGGGAGGCAACATTTCCAATTTAGCGCGAGGGGGTGTTGAGAGGACAGCAGGATATGCAAAATTGATAATGTTGTCGTCTGACGTTTTAAGGAGGAAGAACTATCAAGGGTTTAGGACGGAAAAGGGGACATATATCTGAAGTGCGTATGTTTTAACCTTATGAGTAAGACCAAATACTGTTGATAATATCATCAGCCATTTTATGGAGAACATATAAAATAGACTTAACCAGGGTATTATAAGAGGTATAAAGTCAGCCTTATTTACACACTTAGTGTCTTTCTGGTGTAAAAGGGACAGTTGGAGCTGGTTGTTGGTTCTTGCGGTGAGAGAAGCTGTAGAATAAGATCTGCCTCAGGAACGAGTCCGGACTTTCTAAGTTCAACACTTCATTCTCCTTTTTTCCTCTAACTTGTTATAATCTGAATTTTTCTTATAAAGTAAATAAAAGAGTTTGCTCTGAGCCTTTGAAGTTTCTTCATTGAGACCCTCGACTCTTGTTGTTCACAGTGTCACACACACTGATCCCTCATCGCCTCGTTTCAGTGGATATCAGCACATAACGTCAAACTTGTTGTCAATTTCTGCTTCACATGGAAAACATTCAGGTGGAAATCAAAGTGACGGCGTGTTTCTACTCACCGGTCACCTTGGTGTAGGCCTCCATGTCATCGATTGCCGTGGAGAGAGAGAACATCTTCCCTTTAGAGCCTTCAAACAGGATGTGCCCGTCTGCTTTCAAAAAGGCCTCAGTGATCCTGAGAAAATCACATGATCGCTGTAAAAACGTAACACGTGGGGGGTCATGAAGAAAAGACAACAAGCTCCTCACATAGTCTCCACGATTTTGGCCACTTTGTGCTGGTAGGCTCTCCGGTGGAGACAGTTCCTTGTGTGGAACATGTCGTACAGATTTCCCACTTCCTGTTAAGAGACAACCGATTAGAGGACGCATGGAGGACGGAAGTTCTGACAAGGTGTTTTCAAAGAGACTCACATCTGAAATGAATGCACGCAAAATGTAAACGTAGAGCAAACGCTTGAGTGCCCGGATCCTCCCTACTGACCAGCAGGGGGCGACTCCTCTGCTCCCATCAGAGGGTGGATACCCGGCCCGAGCCCGTCGGCTGGGGCCGGGTTCGGATAAATATTTAGAAAATATAGTCGGGCTCGGACACATCGATAAGGCATTGAACATTCCATATATAAAATATCTTAAGAAGTAATGACGTAGAACCTCGGTTCCAAAACTGGGGTAGGGTACGCGAAGTGGTTCAGGGGGAGAAAATGTCCACGATAACAGAAAACAGACGGGATTCGCAGAATGTACCGTTTGAAACAGAATTGCAACTTTCAGACGGAAACATCATTTTGTGCATCAAAATCGCCCAAATTCCCCTGTATTTGGTCCTGCAAGGCTGTATTTCTTTCTTATAAACTAGAGGGTGGATACCCGGCCCAACCCGTCGGTACCCGCCGGGTTCCGGTAAATATTTAGAAAATATACAGGTCTTTACCAGAGACATACGCCTTCTCCTCCCAATATGGGCTCTTCCTTTTCGCTGCTTGCAAAGAACCAAAGATGGCAACTACATAAATGATAAACTTGAGGATAACGTTGATTAGGTTTTTATAGTTGAAAAGTTTTTAAAAATCTGAAGAGAATATTTATTCTACAGCTTGTGATGAACAGGTGTAGTTTGGCCGACTGTTTAAAGAGAGCACGCTTCTCAAATTGAGCCTTTGGATCTCCGGTGGGTTAGAAGCACCTTGTCTCTGGTGCAGATGTGCTTCTGCCCGTCTACCTCACACACTTTGGCGAACATCAGGCAGCGGCCGTAGTCAAAGTTGTTCTTGATGCCCAGGTGGTAGCAGTCCCTGAGGATGAAGACACGTCGTGGTGAGAAGACCAAGTTAACAGATGAATAAGGAACATTCAGGGTACAGACCCCACCTGGCAAAGTAGTCCCACTTGTCCACATCGATGCCGTTTCTTTTGTTGGACACGATTTCATAGAGGAAGGACTTGTCCTTTGGACGGCCTCTATAGGGCCACTGAGGAGATGAGACCACAGTGACGTCAGGAACGAATAGAACAACGTGATCATTCTTCCACCTGGAGACCCAAAACATTTAATTCGACTACCTCCAGCTTCTTCATGTCCTTTGGGTCCATCGGTCCGGCGATCTGTTCCTTGATGAAGTCCAGGTCCTCTGGCAGCACCAGGCCGTGCTCCTTCATCACGGGCTGCAGATCGTTGTCAGCCACCAGGTGGTCAAACATCTTCACGGAGGCGTCCTCATGCTGCAACATCAAAATCAGAAAAGGAAAATGGTCAGGATGTGAAAGTGAAAGTAAGATGACTCAAATAGAAAGTCCACTCCACTGTGTCCCTTATCTTGTACTTACTGTCGTTCCATGAAGTCAAATTACATTACAAATGAATTATGGCAGCTTATATAAAAAAGGCCTCTGTCAACATACGTCTTTGTTACTGTATCTTTAGGTTAAAAGCAGGGGAATAACACCAGATCTAAAGTAAGAATGGAAGTGGGGCGAGGTGAGACCAGGTGAGAGGATTTGTGAATCCCAGCTGATTGTGATGCAAACGGAGTCTTTAGGTTAAAGTGGAGCAGATAAAAGTTTAAAAAGAATTTAATTGAGATCTTAGGGCCTCATAGACAAAAACAGGCAGAAGTAACTTTTCCAGTTGTTCACATTGTGCTTTTTTTCTTTTTAGGAGCAGAGACCCCAAATAAAATAACACATAAAAAAGAAATGAAGGAAAGAACCCAATGCACAGGAAGTGATCTATAAACACTAAAATATACGTGTCATTGTGTCCTACCTTCCAGGTGAAACCTGGGCGCGCTTTGGGGATGAACTTCCCGTCAAACATGTGGGAGAAGGGCCCGTGTCCTGGAGGGGAAGAGGATGTAATCAACACGCCATCACTTCTGGTCCCGATAGGTCGCCATTAAGCCCCCGACACTGAACTGAACTCACCGAGGTCGTGGCAGAGCCCGGCGATCTGCACACAGAGGACGTCTCTGCGGGTGATGTGGAGCTCTGGCTGCCTCTGGTCCAGAGCTCGGACCAGTTGTCCGGCCAGATGCCCCACCCTGAGGACGAGGACAAACACCAATGAGCTACACCGGATGAAGAGACTCATCGGAGCGTTTTCTTCACGTTTATAGCCTAACAAGGAGTCATGTTCATCCATTTGTGGGTCTACGGTAAGACTTCCCAGCATCGGCTTGTCCAGTGGATGTTGCAACTGGTTTTATAGCTACATGGCTGTTCGTGTCCAGCGGGTTAAGACTGAAAACATCATGTCTGAACCTCTTAACATTTCAAAAGGTGTGCCTCAAGGCTCCATTTTAGGCCCTATTTTGTTCTCTATTTATATTAATGATGTGGCCAAAGCTGCTGGAAATTCCTCTATTCATCTGTATGCGGATGACACCATCATATATTCAGCTGGTCCCTCACTCCACTGCTCCCAGATAAGGGGGGGGGGGGGGGGAGCAGGGGTTGGGAATCACTGTTAAATACGCTAATGTAATTAGTGGGCTAAAGTCAGTCACACCCCGACTTTCTTAGAAATAACACACATTTCAATAATGATAAATGAATAGTTAGTTCCTGCACATTTTTGTTTTTTAGGAATTGTGTGAAATGGCCAATAAAAATTGGTAATACAAAACGATTATGTGTCACCTGTCACCAAGGTTAATTGGTTTAGTCTTGACTTCTGGTCGTGACTGACAGTTTTGGGGGGAAATCTGTTGCTTGTCGCGTCAGAGGCAAATAAAAACAGATGGACAGAAAAAGGTTAAAATCATCAGGTTCCCTACAGAAAGAAAAGGAGGAGAAACGAGCAAAAGATGGAGGTATGCAAATATGTTGTCTCTCTGTATGATTATACATGTGTCATACATTAATTGGTGGGGTAACTCTTTCGTCTGTTAGCCTTTTTGCTATGTTGCTTAATGCTTATAAAACAATAATTCGGTTTTAACTCAACAAACACAAGGTTTGTAATTTCACCATAATATGTGCTTTGCAACAAAACTGTTACAAGTTCAGTTATTGTTTATTTCCATCATTTGGTTTAAAGTTAGGTCCTGTCATTAACCAACGGAATTCTCAAATCTGTAGGTAGTTTCAAAGACGGACATTTGCTATTTGCTACAACTGTATTTTGTGACAAAGTATTGTTTAACAGTCAGAACTAAAAGTGTGCCATGCATAGAATTCAAGGCTGTAACCGAGGAGCTAATGTTTCCTCCCTAAAAGTTAGATTAATATAGCATGTAATGAAAGACATTTAGTGTAAGGGCATGTTAATTAACCCTACTATATTATGTTTGGGGTCAATTTGGCCCCAGGCTGTTTTAGCTGTATAAACATAATCCTACGGTCTTTGGATTTCAATTTCAATTGCAAATGCAAAGGCCAGAAACGTCAGGTTTTAGTTTTAGTTTGTGTTTTCTGTTCTTAGTGCAATAGTGAAACAGTTCGATTGTATTTAGTGTGTTTCCACATTTGTGTGATGAAGAATTTGTGCTATTTACAATATTTATTCCATATTTTATTTGTATATTGTTCTTTTGTATTGTATATTTTGTGCAAATGTGTGTTTCCTGTTGTAATTGCAAGAGTAACTGGATTCTGTTAATTGTGTTTTTCTAATGTTAAAATAAAAAAATAAAATAGAACAGTGCTGATGGATCGGAGATGGAGTTTCTCTGCTACTGGTTGGACTCCAACATACACATCAAAATCCTTCTGGCTAAAGTCAAAGACGGGGTTTCCTGTATTGAAACAAGGCCTCTTTCACACACTCTGCCAAATTCACACTTGTGAAAATGACCATCCTTCCTCTATTTGACGCTGGCAATATAATTTATAAAATGGCATCAAAGACCACCCTCAGAAAACTGGACACCCTCCACCACTCAGCAATCCCCAAGTGCAGCCTTCACCACCCACCACTGTGATCTTTGGATTGGTGGATTGGCCCCCCCTTCACACCTGGCGGCTAAAACATGGCTGCTCGTGGTTGATGATCAAAAGTTCTTTTCATGGGCTTAGTTGGGGGTTCGCTGTCTTGACTTGATTTAGGAGTTGGGTAAGGGGGGGGAGCAGGATGTGCCGAGCAGGCAGACACGAGTCTGACAGGATGGGGAGTCAGTTTATGTCCTGGCTGAGGAATGCAAGGTCTGCGGGTCAACTAGTAGATGCGGGGGGGTGGAAGGTCCTCCTCTACGCCAGTTTAGACAAAACATGATGTTCTTGCTGATGTTAGTTGGTTGTTCTTCTGGCCTGTGTGCTGCCTGAACTGCTCCTGCCTTTGCAAACGCAGCGCCGATACTTGACCTGTGATCTGACAAATAAATCTCCCACAACGAGAGAAGTTGTTCGGCTGAATTTTTGATCACCCCGACCGGGCTCCAAATCTTGAACACGTATTCTTACATGATCTACAAATCATTTTGGGAATGACCCCCCGATACCGCTCAAATCTTCTGCACATTTCGGACAGCAAACGCCATTTAAGATCCAGTGACTGATGATTCCAAAAGTCCGTACTGCGTTTGGTCGTAACTCCTTTCATTTTGCAACTGCAAATGATTGGAACTCATTACAAAACACGCTCAAACTTACAGCCCTCACGTCTCTCGACATGTTCAAACAAAAGCTGCACCGAGCCATAGTTGACTGTTGTAGGCACTTCTCTCTCTTCCATTTTTACAAAGTACTTCCAGTAATCTGCCTTTTTTCTACATCGTGTTTATTAATTTAACAATGTTGTTTTTAGCCATTTGTTTGTCATACTGTATTGTGTCCGTTTGTGTCACTTGTGTGGACGGTGCTGCTGCCTCTTGGCCAGCTCATCCTGGTAAATGAGAACTTGTTCTTAATCGCTTAGCGTGGTGATAGGACTCGTTGGTTCACGGCTTTATGACGGTAGTGACCAGCGGAGCGATGCCGGGTCAACAGACCAGCGCCCCTAGTGGAGGACATACCCGAGGGAGTGTTCGAAGCGGTTGTGGGACGCTCCGGGGAAAACAAAGTAGGCCCCCCCGAGCTGCTTGATGTGACGGAGCCTCTGGAACTGAGGCGTGTCGATGATTCTGATGAGCAGAGGGTGCATCTCCATGTGGCCGTGGATGGGATCGTTGAACACCTGGAAGACACAAGCAGCTGAGAGACGCGTCTAGAACAAGAATTAACCCCCAAAGCCGGTTCCAAAGTAGCAGGAAGCCGGAGTGTTGGTAAGGATCAGAGTACGAGATGCAGATCAGAAGCAGGTAAAATGTCACTAAATAGAAACACAAACGTGGGAACTGGTTTGTCGTCTCTTCACAGACTTCAACGGTTTGTTTGTAAAAGGGAACAGAAACAATCTTCACTTCCTCTCGGGTTAATTACACAAGTTCTTCTCCTTCGCTCTATTGTGTCTTCATCGGCCCTTCGGCCCTGAACTTGTGCAGATGTTACCTTGCTCGGCTCCACTTCGATCTGCCACAGCGTCCTGAGGCTGTGTAGAACTCGCAGGCGGTCCCCGAGGAACCTGGACGTGAACCCGTCCATGAGGAGACAGAAACAAATGGTGAGGGAACATTAAAGCCAATCCCCAGTTAACCCCTCTGCGACCCAACCTGGTTTATGGCCTCTGCTCTGAAGATTCATACCATGATAACAAGTGTAAGAACTCTGGACCTACTTTGTCCATCTGGACATTGTTTCCTGTCAGGATGAAGGGGAACCCCTGTGAGCGTTCTGGTGGGTAAGACCTCATGAAGAGAGCCCATAAGTACCAATAAATAGCGTGTGATGCGTTCTGAGGTAGTCGTGGTCCCCTGACAGGTCGCAGCCCTCGCGCTGAAGCTATGGACCTGCTGACGTCATGTGAGACCTTCAGGGTTTCATGTTCAACAAACTTACTTCAAGCCCATCTTCTCCAGATCAGCATCCGCCAGGTAGCGCAGCCCCACCCCGGTGATTCTGTGCTCTGGATGCCGGAGACAAAAACACAGATGAGAAGAAATATTTAAAAATAGCTTTTGTATAAATATCAACATTTATAATTAAGATTTCCAACAAAGAGGACCAACCTCTAAACGCATCCTCCCACTCTCCGAGACCTTCCGCCCGCAGGTACCGACACGTTTCTTCTGCTCCCCATCCCGCGTAGTCCGTCTGTGGCGCTCCGGGCCCCGGTGCTCTCTTCCCCGGCGCGCTGAGGCTGCTATCGGGGGGAAACGATCGCTTTCGGCTCGCCATGATGGACCGGGGAACCGGGCAGAAGAGTTGGTGAGTCCCGCGCGGTGAGAGAGGGAGACCCGCTGAATCACAGCCGGCGATGAAGCGACGACGAACCGCAGCAGCTGATCGGAACCGCGCGGCAGGAAGACACCGCGACCGGTGAGAATCACCCGGGTTTTGTTTCCTCACCGGTGTGTCAAGCTCATCCGACACGGGCAACGTTTCCGGTGGATAGTTTTCAAAATAAAACACGACGGACGGATAACGTGGAGTGTTCGCCAAAGATGTATTTTTTTGTTCCATGAAATACATAAATATTGTCATCAATTGGAAATATGGTTTTAGAAGTGATGAAATTAATAAATAATAAAGATATTTATTATATATCTATTAAAGATGTGGACATATTTACGGATTCATTTTAAAGTAAAACAACTTACTTCCGGTACTTTACTTGCTGTTTGGCTACAGCTTGATGGGCGTGGCTTCCGATTGGCTGGGACGAGGAGGGCGGAGCAACAAGCCGCCGGGAGAAAACGTAGGTTGACATTTATAGACAGATAAACCCCGGATTACATCCCAATCAGTGCTGTAGTGGTAAAATTAGAGGTGGGTAAACTCTGAATTTTGTGATCATACAGACCTCGACGCGATGCGAAGCAACGCAACACAAAGCGTCACGACTCTGTAAGGCTGTCCTGGCTATATTGCATTATGTTATCAGTAAAAGTCATATACAATCAATGACAATGAATACATGTGTAAGTAGTTTATTAAATTTTATTTAATTAATTTTATTATTTAATTTTATTAAGAAAACAGTAAAGAAAAGTATGTCAACACAACACAACAACACAATTGCAGATTAAGAAATACCTACATATGGAGTCTCCTTTTTACAGTAGTGCCCAGAGGGCCTCCTGGTCCTCCACGTCAGGTCCTGCCTCGCACAGAGGAGCCATGAACCTCATGGCTCCTCTGTGCTTCTCTCTCTATTGGACCTGGTGTTTCTCCTCTCCCTGTGCTCTCTGCATCATTCCCTGTCCTCTCACTGCCTGAACAAATATGTTGAATTTAAGAGTTAACCAGTTAAGCAGTCTGTCAATTACACTGACAACACAAGTTAAAGGAGCACTTATGTACTACCTACGTCATCATAAATAGCCTATACAGCATGTTTTTTTCACGTTGAGAACTGACTTGTTTTTTAATCTACGCGTCACCAGGCGTTTTTCTTGTCCTTGTCCCCCCGTCGGACCTTCACGACCGGTCCGCGAAATATTGTCTGACATGAAACCGGTCCGTGAGGTAAGAAAGGTTGGGGACCACTGGGCTGATCCACAGCGTGTATGTGCCTCCTGGATCCTGATTGGTCGCTGCTGCAGCCGCAAGGAGCTGATTGGATGCTCACAGACCGTAATACAACGCAGATGAACATGATTCAGACTACGGCGTTTATATGTTCAACAATAGGAAACGTAGTCTTAGCTGTTTTAAAATTACACCAAATTTATTTCGGATTATACAAGGCGCAGGGAACTTTGAGGTGCGTAAACGCCACTTAGAGGTGCGTAAACGCTATTTATAGGTGCGTAAACGCTATTTCCAAATTCTAGAGGTGCGTAAACGGCGTTCACGTGCGTTTATCCTCCACTACAGCCCTGATCCCAATGACGTTGATTTAGCACTTTGTTCTCGGTTTCATTAACCAACAAAAAGGAGTGAACATGACTGAATGAATAAAGAAAAGCTCGGTTACAACTACGACCATCTCAGCATATTTTAGAAGAGAAATACCACCCTTGATATAACAGTGACGATCTACACCTGTTTCATAGAGATAAAGAAGAACTGGTTCAGGGTGAAACCCACAAATCGCCTTGTTGTGTCGCTTGTTGTTGTTGTGACTGTGTATAAATGAGACAGATGCTCTCTGAGCAGCCACTGAACGCGTAACCTTTATGCGACCTTATTATTCTCCTTCTTGCCAGAATTAATGTTCAGAATATTGATTTCACAACTGGTGCAGAGTAAAAACACACTAATAATAACTTTACGTATATAGCACCTTTAAATTGAAATAAGAACATAGACATAAACTGAATAACAAAATTGTAGCGGAAGTGGTGGTGACGTTTCATGTTGATTTTGACTCTTTCATTCTTTGACCCTGTCCACCTGTAGTGTCTTCATCAGGTCTACCCGGAATGCCTGTCCCGTCCGCTGGTGTATTTTGGGTTTAATAAAGTAGTTTTTGATATGAACTCTGCGCTGGAGTCCTGCCTCTGCTCGTGACAACTACACCTGCAGGAGTCTCCTTCAGTACTTCTTACATCACCAAACCTCACTCTAAATGACCACGAGCAGTGTTCTTTTATTTCGATGATCCTGTTTCCTACTTAGATTTTATGTGACTTTTATCTTGACATCATACTATCTGCTCACGTGATCAATCGCTCGCGCTCACATTTGTTCAATAGAAGACACGAGAAGCTAGCTAGCAACTTAATAAATTAAGCTAATGGCGGCGGATTTCCCTGGATTACCACTTTATAGCAGCCTTCGATGTGCGGACATGTGGTTCATTGTGATTGTATTTCATTGTATTTCATGTAAATTCGTTTCATATAATGACTGTTGCTATGCTGTTATCCATGTATGCTAAAGTGCATTTGTCAAAGGACTATTTTGTATCTGGCTAAATTGCCTTTATTTCCCTTTTTCGTTGTCACGGTGCTGGTGTTGGTGCTATGCACACTCATCTGAATGAAAGTACACCCGTCTGGAAACACTCCCAAGCCTGTTTCTTCCAAGTTGAAGGGACGCTACACTCACAGCTTCGTTCCCCTCTGGATTGTGGAGGTTCTACAGGTGGCTTCTTCACACCTCGTCCACAGACTCCTCTATTCTACGTGGAGCGAATGTACGTTTCTTAAGCTTGTTGACGGTATTTCCTGGTTCATGATGTCGTAGAGAAATCCTACATTCCCTCATCCGATGTTCATATTTAGAATCTGGTTATGTATGAAAATGATCACAGTCAAATTTGCATCTTATAATATTTTCAGAAGAAAATGTTTCTAATGAACAAAGTTTCATGCTGACATTTATTTGTTACTTTCACTTTCTTATTAACCGGTTGTCTGTTTTCTTTAGCAAATTTAAAAATCTTGAACTTTCCTTTTTGTGTTACATCATCCAATTAAATTTCTTTTTTGGATGTTTTCTGCTTATTTGTATGAAACAGTTATTTTCATACAGATCCGTTATCCTCTGCTCTAAGGGAGCATGGCGCCCCCTGGTGCTCAACAAAGGTCATTACACGAGGACAAGCTGAGAGGAACCCGTTTTATTTCTTTGGAGCACCACACACAGCATCTTTAAGTTTCCCTTTGCACACAGAAATAATCTTTTTTTTTTTGCATAATCGTCAAAACATAAAATACGCCGTCAGAGATTTCCTTGAGATTACATTTAGGTAAGATGGAAAAGATGGTGACATTAATAAAGAAGAAAAAAATAATGCAAATATCTTAAAGTTGAGCCACTCAGTATCAGAACAATAAACAATAAAGTCAACAACGTCACACACATCTGAAAAATAAACACTCACGCGCCAAAATCTGTTCACATCAACGTTTGAGCCGAATTAATAAGGTCCTCGCTACGACTCGTCGTAGAGGAACCTATTGTATTTCAAGGAATTATTATTAATATATATTATTTGGGTATAAAGAAGCGTCTCTGTAGCACCTCCTAGAAATGAGAGAAGTATCACAGTAGCCCCATTTTCCCCCCAATGCCTGATTGACATTTGGCACACATGTGCTCTCGGGTAACACAAAGTACAATCATGGCATTTAAATACGCTGAATTAGATTTTCCCTCATTTGGAATTTAGTCAAAAACACATTATTATATTATCTCTCATACATTCTCTGTCCGATTATCACAGAATATTTTGTGGATCATTATTGGTTCAATATCACCTGAAAATCTTCTTCCAAGACGTGTGGCTTAATATGGCAAGACACATATCTTACACATGACTTGACCTGTCCTCCACAAATTGATTGTATATATATGCAACTAATTTGGTATATATATGCAACTAATTTGGTATATATATATATATATATAATTTGGTGAGGGCACCCCTGAACCTACCCTAGTTATTTAATAATATTTGAAGACTAGGGGGGCTGCAGTTAATCGTTGAATATCTGCATTTGTAGCCTATTGCACATTTTCATAATTTTTTCAATATTCTTTTTAAATTTGGGTGATATTGAGACCTTTGCCTTTAAAAATTGCATAAAGCTTGAATTCTTTTCATATTGAACTATGTGAGCGCAGAGCATCGGCAAAAAACACCACTTGCCACGAAAAATGAAAGTTGTTTTATTTCAACGATACTAATAACTAATCTGCTCCATATTCCTTATTTATCATGACCTCCTTACCCTGTAGACATCATTTATGACCTTAGTTAAAGGTTTTTTATTTTCCAGCCTGCTCCTCACAGGTTAATCTGATCCCTCTCGAATGAAAAGACTTAAGAACTTGATAATGTTAACGATAGATTTGACAAAGATTCCTTCCCAGCGGGCGCTCGCTGCCATTACTGACTCGCGGTCGCTTTGTCCGGCGACCACAGGCGTTCTTGGCCGTTTGTAGTCGTCTGGCCAGATTCCCGACGTGTGCAGAGCAGCGAGGACCCGTCCATCGCTGCTCGCAGCTTACATTTAAATATATGTTTTAAAGGTTGTGACAGAAGAAGGGAGCACGATCTGTTACACTTGATATCAAATAAAACCAACATTAAAAAGGGTAAAACTAAAACTAAATGTTTGTGAGTATTATAATAAAGAGTTTAAAAACACAAGCAAAGGGCCCCGAGTACCGCATCCCTCTTTTTGGTGCAAAGATATTATAATCTTTGCTGTGCTCACCAACACCTCGTAGAAAGAGATTTATAATATAGATTATATTTGTCTACATTAGTACCAACTGAGTTTACTTCCTTCATGTCGTCCCGCTGGACTCCACAGGAGTCTCCTCGGGGGCTTCATCCTGTGTGAGGAACCAAACAACAGACTATAAGGGCCAAAAGGATCTGTGTTCAAATATGTGAAGTCCACTTCCACCGGATCAGACTTTTGGACACATATTACATTACATAGAATTCCGTCCCAATCCCATTATTTATTTCCATCTTTAATCCCTCATGTCGGCTACTTTTACATGTCTCTGGCTTCCACTGATAACCTGTCAATCACATTAGCCCCGGCCTAAAGCATCCCCTGCTTTATGGTCTGTTTGAATCTAAATGGAACATAATGAACATCATCAGTATTGAAGAAGACTTGAAACTAGAGACTGAGACCATAAACTCATGTTTACAATGTTTACTGAGGGAATAAATCCAGAGAGAAGTAGAGTCATTTTCTCACAGACTTCTACAGAATTGCACTTCTTTTCTCTGGTTTTGTCACTGTTTTCCAGATTGTTACAATTGCGTTGCTGCATTGTAACATGCAGATTACCTGAAACATCCGGTTGTCAGGGTCTTCGCACCACCGTTTAAAGTTGTCCTTTGCCGCTTTCAGACTCTCGCTGTCAAGCTTCTTGCAGTAGACCCGGATCAGCTCCTTGGTGAACTTCTCTGGGAGAAAGCCAAACACCTGGTGAAGAGGAGAAGCAGGCGGCTTAGTTTTGAGGACTCGGGTTAAAAATGTCAGATTCCACAGAGCTTTTGGGAAATTCCCATGACAACAGTATTTAGATGGCACCACATATTTGATGAAATTGCACTTTCTTGTTTCTGAGTTTGTATCCTTATGGTTGGATGCACTTAAGTCGCTTTGGATAAAAGCGTCAGCTAAATGACATGTGATGAAATGTAACATAACAGCTGTTGTTTGATCAGCAGCTTTGCTTTTTATTCTCTATTTGTTTTACCTCCATATTTCCACTCTCAGTTTTTATCGAGGGGATCGTCATTGTTCAATCTGACAGCTGGAAGGTTGAAGGAGGGAAACTTCATGGTTCTTTTTTTAGAAACGGCACAAAAAGGTGCACAATGTTCTTAGTTTACTTCATTTAACACAATTAAGTAGGAAGATGGGACGTTTTCAACTTGAAGCTCCATCTTCATTGGGAAGAGTTGGACATAAACAACCTGAAGCCGGTCCTGAGATCTGAAGTCTGGGCTTCTGGTTCGGTTCTACCTGGTTCTGGGGGATCTGGAAGCCTTTGTCCGGGTCGTCCTTGCTGTAGAAGCGCACGCGGTCGATGGGGTTCTCTTCCTTCATCCCGTAGTCCAAGTTGATGACCTAAAAGAGTGAGAAGGTTGTAGTGAAGCCTACAGACACATGGTAGAGCAGGGAGCACGAGGACTGATCAGATCAATAAGCCTCACATCGATGATGAAGTCCTCTGGATTCAGAACCACGTCCTGAGGGTCCCGACGAGCCAGATCGGCTTCCCAGCTCGCTTTAACCTCCTTTGAGAGGAGAAAGAGGGGGAGGTTTGTTATTTGACCATGAGATGAGCCACTTCTAAGCTAAACTCTTATTCGCATTCTATTTATACAAATCAGATAAATCGTGTTTTTGTAGATTGACTCAATTTAAGCTCATTATCTTCATCCGAACATGAACAAAGACACTTCCATCATTAAACATTTACTGCTTCCAGCTTCTCCAAAGTAAAATAACTGAATATAATCACACTGACAGTGACGGTCGTGGGTTGGGTCGGCTGGGCTTGGCCGATGCATTTGTAGATGCGTCGACACACGACGTCTTGAAGAATCTCCCTCGAGTCCTTCAGCTCATCGGAGGACGAGTTGAGTATTTTTTCAAAGACGTCATCTAGAAAAAGAGAATGTGGGGAGGAGCAAAGACAACAACACGTTCACCAAATATATTTTGTTACCATTACTTTTAAGAAGGTTTAACAAAGAAGGGATCAAAATAGCTTCTGCAATAATAATAATATATACTATTATTGGTTTACAGTTCAGGAGTGATGAAAAACATCAATTCACATCATATACTGTCAGGGCTTTTGGACTGCAGTACCCTGAAGGACCATGTGGGGTCCTCAGTGTTCCACTTTATCCTGTCACGTGTGTGTGGTCTTGATTGTTTTCCTTGTGTTCACCTGTGCCTTGTTTTCTAGCCTTTAAAAAGCCACCCGAGTTTCTTTGTGTTTGCCGAGTCTTGGAAGTCGACACCTGGAGCCGAGCCACGTGACATTCCAGATGAGCTACCGCTGTTAAATCCTTTATGATTCTTGAGATCTTTTGTTGCCTCTTTTTTGGGACTAGTTACCTTGTAAAATGCCCAGACCTTGTTTTTAGTTGTCTGGGAGTATTTTTGAGTTACTGTCAAGCCTTATGGAATCCTCTGCTCTTTTTAAGTAAAGAAACCTTTTTTGATTCCCTACAAACAACTCGCCTCCCTGCACCTGAGTCACCACCACTCGTAGCACAGTGGTGGGCAACCCGCCTGCTACACGGAGACCCAGGTTCGGATCCCGACGATCCTGATAATATACAAGTGACTTATTAGTTTGCTCATGAATTTTAATTTGTATCGAGGATGGTTTGATAAACAGCCCCAAAACATTAGTTATTGCTGTTTAATAAGAGAACCGTCTGAAAACTGAGGTTTGATTTATTATAATTTGTTTTGGGGTTTCGAAACACGACATATTTCAGCTCTAGTATCTATTTCTGATGTTAAAACATCTCATTCAAAATATAAAGTACGTTTAAAGCTGAGATATTAATGTGATAATTACACAAAACGTGGCATCGTAAATAGAGAGAACCTCTGCTAATCAGCCGATTGCAGTGCTGCTAACGGAAAAAGTGTTTCTACTCACCGGTCACCTTGGTGTAGGCCTCCATGTCTTTGATGGTATCGGAGAGCTTGAACTTCTGCCCTCCAGAGCCTTCAAACTCGATGTGCCCGTCTGCTTTCCAAAAGGCCTCAGTGATCCTGAGAAAATCACATGATCGCTGTGTAAAAACGTAACACGTGGGGGGTCATGAAGAAAAGACAACAAGCTCCTCACATAGTCTCCACGATGTTGGCCGCTTTGTGCTGGTAGGCTCTCCGGTGGAGACAAATCCTTGTGTAGAACATGTCGTACAAATCCTCCACTTCCTGTTGAAAGGGACAACCGATTAGAGGACGCATGGAGGACGGAGGACAGGAGAAGTTCTGACAAGGCGTTTTCCAAAAGAGACTCAAATCTGAAATGAATGCACAATCTCTAGTTTCAAGTCTTCTTTAACATTCATTCATTTAGTAAACGGTGGTCCATTTAGAGTCAAACAGACCATAAAGCAGGAGATGCTTTAGGGGCGGGGCTACATGCTGATTGACAGGTCTTTACCAGAGACGTTATAAGTCTTCTCTACCTCAGTCCTAATATGGGCCTTCCTTTTCGCTGCTTGGAAAGAAGCAAACATGGCGACTACATAGATGCTAAACTTTTTTTTCTTTCTACAGCTTGTGATGAACAGGTGTAGTTTGGGCGACTGTTTAAAGAGAGCACGCTTCTCAAATTGAGCCGATGGGCTTTGGATCTCCGGTGGGTTAGAAGCACCTTGTCTCTGAAGCAGATCTGCTTCTGCCCGTCTACCTCACACACTCTGGCGAACATCAGGCAGCGGCCGTGGTCAAAGTTGTTCTTGATGCCCAGGTGGTAGCAGTCCCTGAGGATGAAGACACGTCGTGGTGAGAAGACCAAGTTATCAGATGAATAAGGAACATTCAGGGTACAGACCCCACCTGGCAAAGTAGTCCCACTTGTCCACATCGATGCAGTTTCTTTTGTTGGACACGATTTCATAGAGGAAGGACTTGTTCTCTAGACGGCCTCTATAGGGCCACTGAGGAGATGAGACCACAGTGACGTCAGGAACGAATAGAACAACGTGATCATTCTGCCACCTGGTGACCCAAAACATTTATCTTGACTACCGCCGACATCGGGTCCTTCGGGTCCATCAGTTCCTTGATGAAGTCCAGGTCCTCTGGCAGCTTCAGGCCGTGCTCCTTCATCACGGGCTGCAGATCGTTGTCAGCCACCAGGTGGTCAAACATCTCCACGGAGGCCTTCTCATGCTGCAACATCAAAAATCAGAAAAGGAAAATGGTCAGGATGTGAAGGTGAAAGTAAGATTCAAATAGAAAGTTCTCAGGTGAGTAGATGTTAAACACTCTACTGTGTCCTTTATCTTGTCTTATCTTTATCTCGTTCCATGAAGTCAAATTACATTACAAATGAATTATGGCAGCTTATATAAAAATGCCTCTGTCAACATACGTCTTTATTACTGTATCTTTAGGTTAAAAGCAGGGGAATAACACCAGATCTAAAGTAAGAATGAAAGTGGGGCGAACTGTGTCTTCGTGGTCACAGACCAGCTGAGGCAGAAGTAATTTTCGGACTTTTCAGATTGTTCACATTCTGCATTTTGGAGCGGAGATGCCCTTTTAAAACTTGTAATCTCACCAGTTCAATTGTGAATCATAAAAGTTTATGAGAACATAGAATGTGGAAATGAGAGATGGCCCAGTATACAGTATAAGGTCTTCTGCCTCCATTTATCCATTCGCTACACTGTGTTTCATTCACGTTAATGCTGCTTTAAAAGACATTATAATTTGTGACAATTAAAAAAACTGCAGGAAAGAACCCAATGCACAGGAAGTGATCTATAAACACTAAAATATAAGTGTCATTGTGTCCTACCTTCCAGGTGAAACCTGGGCGCGCTTTGGGGATGAACTTTCCGTCAAACATGTGGGAGAAGGGCCCGTGTCCTGGAGGGGAAGAGGATGTAATCAACACGCCATCACTTCTGGTCCCGATAAGCCGCCATTAAGCCCCCGACACTGAACTGAACTCACCGAGGTCGTGGCAGAGCCCGGCGATCTGCACACAGAGGACGTCTCTGTCGTCGATGTGGAGGTCTCCCTGCCTCTGGTCCAGAGCTCGGACCAGTTTTCCTGCCAGATGCGCCACCCTGAGGACGAGGACGAACACCAATGAGCTACACCGGATGAAGAGACTCATCGGAGCGTTTTCTTCACGTTTATAGCCTAACAAGGAGTCATGTTCATCCATTTGTGGGTCTACGGCCTTCCTCTCCTACAATAGTGATGATTAATCCATTTAATTCACAGATGTCTAAAACGGTTTAAAAAATCTTCTTTTAACATTACATTTCAACTGAGACGACCTCGTGGAAAGCAGCATGAGAGAACGTTGTTTCTTTTATTACTTTGGGGAGTCTGGTCTCACCAGCTGACGCTGCTCTATACGGCGCTTAACGTGGTGATAGGACTCGTTGGTTCACGGCTTTATGACGGTAGTGACCAGCGGAGCGATGCCGGGTCAACAGACCAGCGCCCCTAGTGGAGGACATACCCGAGGGAGTGTTCGAAGCGGTTGTGGGACGCTCCGGGGAAAACAAAGTAGGCCCCCCCGAGCTGCTTGATGCGACGGAGCCTCTGGAACTGAGGCGTGTCGATGATTCTGATGAGCAGAGGGTGCATCTCCATGTGGCCGTGGATGGGATCGTTGAACACCTGGAAGACACAAGCAGCTGAGAGACGCGTCTAGAACGAGAATTAACCCCCAAAGCCGGTTCCAAAGTAGCAGGAAGCCGGAGTGTTGGTAAGGATCAGAGTACGAGATGCAGATCAGAAGCAGGTAAAATGTCACTAAATAGAAACACAAATGTGGGAACTGGTTTGTCGGGTCTTCATACAGGGTTTGTGTCAAGGTCGCCAGGCTGCATCCTCAAGGTCGCCAGGCTGCATCCTTAAGGATGCAGCCTGGCGACCGCTTACGTCGCCTACGCGGCGAATTGACTGCGACTCGACGGTCTCGTTCCGTCAGCTCCTCCGAACGCGGTCGTGGGACGATGTCCTCCAGGAGGACACATCTGATCTAACCTTTGCGGCCCAGCATATCCCAGCATGCAGTGCAGGCCACGGGGATTTAATTTATTCAGGACGGAGGCGGGTGAGAGTTCACTTTTAAATGTAACGTTAGGAAATAGAATTCACTTTTATATCTACCGATATAAATGTTATATTATAATGTTGTTACGTGATGTTGGTAACTGAGGTATGAAGGCAAATCAATGTCAAAATCCAGGAGCGCAAATCAGGTCTGATTTGAGTTTGACATAGATTTGCCTTCATACCCCTGACCCAGGTTCCCCCCTCACCTGGACCCCCCCCCGGGTCCATGTACTGCTTCTCATGAACATCAATGTACCAACACACATTTATGACAAACACACAACGAGCAGCTCACGTTACCGGCAGCTCGTCGGTGTTACGCCGGTGGGGCCATAAGGGTCTAGACTCAAAAGCAGACTCGAGGAGGATTAGTCAGAGGCAAAAATAGTCTTTACTTCAGGCAGGGGTTCGGTACACGGGTAGTCAGACGGAGAAGGTGGATCAATCCAAATCGGCAGGCAAAGGTTAACGGAGGGACGGAAATGGGTCAAAACACGGGAAGGCACACTCAGCAGAATCGCGGGTAAGCTCATTGGGAACAAAGAGACGAACTGCACAGAACAAGCTGTTGCACAGAGTAAATACACAGGAGAACGAGACACAGGTGGAAACAATAAGGGCGGGGCTTGCAATCACAGAGGGCGGCGGCACACAGGGAGGAGGAGTCTGAAACGAGAGGCAAAGGTGAGTGACTGAAACACAACAGAAAACAACATGTGACCTACAGACCCAGTCTGGCTGTTACAGTCTGTAGTTATTAGTGAAAAGTCATTTTAATGACTTAACTTTCACACTCTAGATCAGAGGTCACGGACTGGTGGACTGCGGTCCGGATCCGGACCCAGAAGCCGTCCCATCCGGAACAAAAGCTAAAAACACGGTTGTGATTTGAACGTGACAGCGCACTTTTCCACCGGAGCAGCTTTGGGCGTCTTTACGGTCGTGACCTAAAGCACCGACCAATAGCATCGAGTTAAACATCCCACGTGATACTACTCGACCAATCGAGTCTTTGCATTCCAGGCAGCACGATGACGTCGTCTCAATACTGCAGACAGACGAGAGCGGCAGCGACAAATTACAAATAAAAAGACTGTAGGAAGAAAAGAAAGAGCGAAATGTGAGAAAAAGACGAGTGAGACGGAGAAAGTGAGAGAAAGACGTGAGAAAAATGAGGAAGAAATGGACAGCTAAAGTAGAGCATTTCATCCATAATGGACGGACTGGTTTCTGCTCGTACGTCCCACTGCAGCACTGAACCAGAGTCTCATGAGCTCAGAACCCGTTGAAACGTCATCATGAGGCTCAATGAGATCATGAGGAGGAGAACCTGATGCATTAAGACCAGAATTGTTAAAATGTGTTTAGATTTATTATTTATAACTTGCTCAGACTGTGAAGTCCAAGTGTGAAGCAGAAAATGGGAAGTTCAAGCTTTTCTTCCTGTTATTTCATTTTTTTCTGAATTGAAGCACTTTATTTGAAGACATTTTCACATTTAATTTTTTTAATTTTTTTATCAGGCCTTACTTTTATTCAGTTAATTAAGAGAACATTTTTTTATATTTGCAGTCACACATATAGGTTCAGTTCTTTGTTACATTACTGAATCCAATTTATTTATTAGTGGTGTGTTGATTACATGCAAATGTTGATACAAGTCTCGAATCTATTTAATCACACTAAGTAGTCACATTATGATCTTCTGGACCTTTCTGACCTTCTAGAATTTTTCTCCAACTGGACCTCTTCACATTATAGTTGAAAACTTGAGGCTGACTGACATACTGACGCTGTGACGGTTTTATATTTAGTTTATACTTCATATTATGAACAGAAACAGAAACAGATCAAAGGAGCTCAAGTAGACTGATGATGCAGCCCAGGATGCTGAGACGCACCAACATCTGTAGAACTAAACGTCTGCGCCCTGAACCTGTGCAGATGTTACCTTGCCGGGGAGGCGGGACCTTGCCGGGGAGGTGGGTTGGCTCGCCATGATGGACCGGGGAACCGGGCAGAAGCTTTGGTGAGTCCCGCGTGGTGAGAGAGAGACGCGCTGAATCACAGCCGGCGATGAACCGACGTCGAACCGCAACAGCTGATCGGGAGAAGCGGCAAGAAGACACCGCGACCGGCGAGAATCACCGGTTTTTATTCCCCGTCCCGGTGAACGAGGGGGGCGGGGCCACACGCGGCTTTGGGTTGACTTGATGACGTTGATTTAGAACATTGTTCTGCATCCCGTTCAACAGGTTTGCTTATTAATAAACTAACAAAAAGCAGTGAACACGACGTTAAACCAGCTGACAGGCGACTCATCGTCCTGCAGCATCATCTCTTCAAAGATCTGATGAGTGAATTTGTTTTATTTTATTGAAAAGGGCTTATACACATCATTGTGCAACATGTTATCATGGTGGAGACAGGAGCACGGTGGATGTTTAGAAAAATGAATAAAGACAAGCTTGGTTATAACTGGAGAATAATTACTGAGGAGTTTGAAAACGCTCCTCTGTCCACTGGTCCATGTGCTCCTCTGTCCACTGGTCCATGTGCTCCTCTGTCCACTGGTCCATGTGCTCCTCTGTCCACATTGGCTCTGTGAGGCTTCACTAGTCGACCCAGATCAGCTGCTTAGAGAAGTGCACTGAAAAAAAAAGTCTTTTGAATTTACATGAAAAAAATATGTACATCGGTTGCACATATTATATTCATGTTTAGTCAAAATGATTCATTTCTATTTAATGTACTTAATTTTTATTTGTAAAACAAACATGATTTTCTCATGTAAATTCAAAATATTTTATTAATGTTAATTGTATTAAATTATTCTGATAACCCAACTTATTTTTTTTGTGTTACTTTAAAATGTCCCTTTTATGTTAAGTGTATTCAATTCTCACCTATTGAAGCAACATGAGATTTTAATGTGACTTTAAAATGTCCCTTTTATGTTAAGTGTATTCAATTCTCACCTATTGAAGCAACATGAGATTTTTATGTGAAGTATATGCAATGTTGTTCTGTTAAATTAACTTCCTGCTTCCTGCTCAAGTTAGTCTGATAATGATCCTGGATACTTTTCTGTATAAATTCTACATGCTAAAATTATTTCTGTATGGCGATTTCTACTAATCTCTTACCTACAGAATTTACTCCTTTAACATTTTTAAAATAAATAAGGCAAAACAAAAACGTTTAGTTTACAACTGTATTGTCATAGAACAATAGAAGATTCAGTGTAATGTATACACAAACACATGCACACATTCACAAACAAATCTCATATTAGAACAAAGCACCTTTTTCTTTCACAAGAAACACTTGGTATGCAAGTTATCAAGAGTGTGTAGTAAACATTCATGACTGCTACAACCTGAGACAACATTATTTTGGTCCTTAAAACACCTTCTGAGTTACATCAAGCCAGCATCAAGAGAATACTATACAGCCAGGCTAATGCAGGAATGTCGTGCAAAATATGTGCAAAAAACATTACATTTACAATTTCTTAACAAAAGAAAAGGACACATGTAACAACCATTATTGTCCTGGCAAATGTAGATCTTGTGCTTGAAAACTACATTTGGTTTTGAAAATAAAGTAATACAATAAGAGTTATGGCTTGCTTTCCCACCACTACTATAAGTCAGTTAAGAATGTGCAAAATCCAAAAATCACCTCCAAATTTGAAAACAGGGTAAACGGTTAGAGGTCTATTAAACACATCTGACAAATGCTGACACTTAAATGAAAAAGGCACATGACCCTGAGAAAAAAAAAGAAAAAAAAAATACACTACACTTGGTAGCGGCCCATCACAGAACATGCAGGTGACTGGTTCCAATAATCCTACTGAAAAAGCAGCAATGGTCCATATTCCAAAACAAGATGGTGAAACGGTTGTATCCATTTTGCCATCAAATGGCAACAGTTCACTGATGGAGTCTGTTTTTGAGAGCCGGGGCTTTGTTTGACAGTGTCTTGCCGTCCAGCTCCATCACAACCTTCTGGAGCACTTCGAACGAGTACTTAAGTTCAGGAGGGTAGTTGAGGTTCAAGGCATACATTAGGCAAAACAACATGGCAGCATAGTGATATAACTGATCATGTATCGGTATACATGTTAGAAGCCCTGTTAGCGGCACAGCTTATTATAAGCACGATTTGGGCTACATCCGCCATTGCACAGAATTGTCAACAAAGCAGTTAGCGGCGCACATTCTGACGTCAAACACAGCGGATAAAGGCGTACACTCTGACGTCGCAAGGCAAAAAAACGGTTATACTGTCCACACAACACTGCAACCGTCGTTTCTGAAAATGCTCACCCTGGCCGGAGTTTTCAAAAATGTTCGGTTTCTGTGCCCTGAAACTGCCTTTTCGTGTGGACTGAAGGCCGAACCGCGTAAAAAAAGTCACTGTTATAAAAATACCCGTGTTCGTGTGGACAGGGCCCAAGTCAATGACGCGCGAAAAACTCCCATGCTGGTATAACCGAGCAGTTTAACATTACCTTTTTCTCAGCTTTAGTTTAGAAAACATGAGCAAGTTGCCCTCACTAGCATAACGCGAGTAGAAACATTAGCTAACCTTTGCATTGCTCATTTTTGCTAGTCATTTAAAAATCTCTGCTCGACGAAAATAATGCCTCGAACAGGACTATCTTTAGCATAACGTTAGCTAACGCTAGCGAGTAGCAACATTAGCATTACCATTGACTATCCATGTAGCGAGTGGTAACGTTAGCTAACTTTGACTGACATTGACTAATTCCTGCTCGATGTTATACTGGCAGATAAAAACCTCAGTTTAGTCAAAATTGTGCGACTAACGGGACTACGTCTGTCTTTGACTAATAAATGATACAGTGTTATTAACTTTACCGTGTGAAAAGCTGTCCAGACTTTTATGGTCCAGACGGATGAATTCCTCCGACTGGATTGAAGAAATGGCGCACAAAGTTTTCCCTTAAAAAACCTGCTCCTAATGGGCGGAGTTTCCAGATGAAACATAACAACTTCCTTTCTTTATAACATGACTGAAACATAAAAATTAAACATCCCTGAAGATTACAAGAATTCTACACGATTTACATATGTTTAGAGGAGGAACATAAATCAATTGTGTTATGTATACGAACTGTTCATTTGTTAAGTGAACAACCCCCATTTCCCCCTTTTTTCAGTGTGTGTTGGCTCAAAGTTGGAGTTCTTAACAGAGTGAAAGCGGAACATTAGAGAAGGGATTGTTTCCTTTTTGACTTTGGTGCCGAACTTTTTATGTACAACCTGCGGCCCATTTAAATATGAAAACTGTATTGGCTTAATTAATTGATCTCACTCTTGGTTTGATTCGTATTCAATAACTAAATTAAATCCACTTACAGTTGATACAAAGTGATCATTGCAAAGACTTTTTATTCATAATGTGTATGTAAACCCATAAGGCCAAAGGAAATAATGAGTAAATATTCAAAAGAAAAGATGATAATTGGAAGGATAATGAAATGAAATGAGGGAAGGTAGAAATTTGTGTTTGCCAGATATCTTATTTTCTGCAAAAATCCCCAGAAAAATGAAAAAGTGTTGTGTTTTGAGGGAACAAGTGGGCAAAGACGATATTCAAAAAATATTCATGAATATTCAAAGAAATATTCAAATGTGTGAAGGACACACGCAAGGTGAACTCCGGCCCGGCCGGCGAGGGAGTGTCGCTGACGGTCCGCCAAAGTCGGCCGGAGTTTGAGACCCCTGCTGTAGATTAAGATCTCCGGAAGATGTCAGTTTTCTCACTTTTATCAAACACTGATCTGTTTTTGTTTGTCATTTTATCTCTATAATGTGTAATAATGTGACCGGTACCGGTCCGCGGCCTGGTGGTTGGGGACCACTGGTCTAATGCATGGATCCACAGAACACCAACAAATGGCAGACCTTCCTCAAGACAGAGTGCTTCCTGATAATCCTCCGTTTCCAGAGTCAGCGTTGACTATTTTGGACCATTTGAGGCAAAATGAAGAAGAAGCTTGGTAAATAAATATGGAGTAATCTTTACTTACCTAGCCATCTGGGCAGTGCACATAGAATAGAATAGAAGTACTTTATTGATCCCCATGGGAAAATTCAAGGTTTGAAGTTCTTTGGCGTTGACACATGCATTGGTATCCACAATACGTTCATTTATTGCCAGGAGAGGACGAGTAATGGAGATCCGCAAACATTTCCAATACATACATGATTATTTTGGAAACATTGGACAAGGGAGCCACAGCTCCAGGAAGGATATGAGGTTGTCACAAAAGAAATATTCAAATATTCAAAAAATATTCAAATGAATATTCAAAAAATATTCAAAATGTATGAGGGACACATACAAGGTGAACTCTCTTCCGAAACCATTTCACTTTCTTTCTCCAGTCGAATAACGAGTTTCTCTCGGGAATAACTCTTGGCTCATGTAAGCCACAGGGTGACGATGGTTGGCCTCTCCTTGCAGAAGCAGCTCTCAGACCGCTCTCTAAGGCGTCTGGTTGCAACAATACGTTGTGGTAACCCACGGGCGCAGCACTCTGGACAGCGCCTCAAGAGAGCAGCACAAAGGGCAGGGGCACCAACGAGCAAGAGGTCAGGTGACCAAAAGGGGAAACACCCCGTCCCCTCAGGAGACACCGAGCCGCCCAGGTGCAGCTCATAAGGCTGATGAAGGTTGGCCACACTATAAAAGGCCAACCATGCCAACAGCCCAGCAGCCAAGACGTGAGTAGAAGCTGGCTCACTATAACCCGATGACGGGCCACATGGGTAGCGATAAAACTCTGGATCGGATAGTGGCCCGATTTTACTGGCCAGGCATCCGGGCGGAAGTGCGCCGATGGTGCGCGTCCTGCCCGCAGT